TAGCTAGCCAGGAATCGCTAAACAGACTGTGCTACTCATTCCCGTTTGCCACCTCTCCTCGCGCATAAGGTGTACACACTTGCGCAAATCATAGTCACGAATGATTATCAAAGGATCGCTGCCCTCACGGCAAGTCTCAGTTTAATATTTGCCTGGACGCACCCAGGGGAAGGGGCAAAGGGAACAATTCTTTAACGGTCACTTTTCCGACCCTTCCCCATTTTCTCATGCTGTACAGCTCATTTTGGAGCGGATGCACCCGGTCAAAGGTTACACATCTTTTAAAGCGAAAAAACGTTCGCGTGTAGAGCTTGCCGATCTGCACACACGCAGGAGGATACGCACACATGGCCACGCGTGGACAGCGGGCTAGCACATCACCCCCCCCTTGGCAACTTCCTCTCTTGGGAGAATGAAGCGTAAAATAGAACTCTACACCAAAGGGGACGCAGCTTTACAGAGGTACGGTCAAATTGAATAGCATATGAACGCAGCGAGGTCTTCACAAAATATTTTTTCCTCCTTTCTGATCTCCCACGGATAGAAGTGCAACGGTGTATCGTCATGTGTGTTTATGGGAACATATCTCAAAAGAGGAAACCCCTCCTGCGTGTAGCTGCATCGCCAATGAGTAGAAAAAAAAAAAGAGAAAAGAAAAAAAGAAGCGATCACCCCACATTGGACACTCTCACCTTAGGAGTCCCCCCTTTCTGGGAAGGAAATCCGCTTAGAGGAATTTTTTAAAAAACTTTCACTAGACATGGAACCCATTTCTAGCAACTCATGTGGGTATAAAGAACTGCTCAAATTGTCACCAAAATGGGAAGTATTCGATTTAAACGTCTTGTACACAGGGAAAAAACTTAACCCAAAATCTTGATCCTTATCTTTTAAGTAGTGGAAATACCTACTCATAACGATGTGATCCTCACGAGTTTTCCTTTCCTTCCCTCCTCGTGCAGAAAGAACATCTCCAATTCGGTCCATGTTCTGATTAGCGTTTTTTATTTCATCTAACAGGGCCCTTTCCATCCCTATTTCGTAATTAGTCTTCGCTATAAACTCTTTAACCCTTTCTGAGTAGGGTTCCACAAGTACATTTTGTAAGCTCGTCTTGAACTTCACTTTAGATAAACTCATGTTCACAACGGGTGTCTGGGTCAGTCTGGCATACTCGTTTTCTCCTTCATCTGTTTCTACCCTCTCGGTTAGTGATTTTAGCAGGTTTCGAACTTGTTTGTTTTTCTTCACCTTTCCGCAGAGGCAAATGAGAGAACTCCCCAGCAGCAGGTACATGCAGAGGGGCGCGATAACATGGATTCTCTTCATTGGAAAGGGAGGAGCAAAGATGTAGCGTGATTATATGGTTGTGTGTCGTAACTCTTCAATGGAACAATCGCTCTGTGACGGTCCACGCAAGGGAAAGGACAAATATAGGCGGAGGTGAACAGAAAATAAAGACAAATCGCGGCCACACAGACCTCAGTGAATACAATTCAGCCAGTCGAATAAACACAAAGCAAGATTTTTGCCAAAACTAGGAGCTTAAACTATTCGTTTTGTCTCTCCCACGGAAGTGACGAGAAGACAGACGTGACACTACAAAGAAAAAAGTGGTGAGAACAGCTACTCTCCATTTGAAGTTACTTCGTAGAGAGTGTTAAAAAAAAATTCACATTTGTAGCTTCTAGAGATTCTCCCATGCGGGACAAATTATAAGCTAACGGAGGATAACTGATAGTAACTCTTCTCCATCGCGACCAGTGAGAGGCAACACAGAAGGATAAACTCACCTGTAACATTATGCTCTGTATGTACACCAAAATTGAGGAAAAAAAAAAAAAAACTCCCACGTATCCAATGCGCAGAGACGTGGAGAAGACCGGAAAAGGAAATCCTCAAGCGGGGTCTCGCTCTCTCAAAGAAATAGCCACGGACACGGGATGATTATCAAATGATGAGTGATAGCGACAGGGACGACGGCACTGTCTGGGGAAGGAGGGTGGAAAGATTTTCACTTCAGCAGGATGAGTATTGGCACACACCGCACGAGGTTTTAAGTGGACCAACAGAGGGGACCCCCCACACACAGCCATTTATAAGTTAAGAAGTTGGGATTTTGGTACTCCACTTCGAAGCTCTTTATGCACGCTCAGCAGCAGAGCGTTTGGAGAAAGTGGAAGCCACGTGGGGATGTTGTCATCGATGGAAGGAAGCCACCTTCCCGAGTAACCAGCGCAACTGCTGCGAAATGCCGCGAAATGTCGCAAAATACGGCACACCTAACACACCCCACGCGACGGGCCAACAAGGAAAGGTACAAACGGTATTAATTATTTATACACGCGGTGGCTCGCATATCAGCTGAAGCTACACACGTAAAAAGGTACGTTTTTGCCAAACGGCAAGCGAAAAAGAGAAAAAAATATAAAGTCAAAGTGTAGGACAATAAACTCAAGCAGCATCGCAAACATTGGGGTGGAGGACGCTCCTGCTAAAACAAACACAAGTGCTAGGGACGGAGGGCCTCTCCTCGGACCTCCCGTGTGGCCTCCCATCGCCCGCCTTTAACTCCTTGTGTGGTAGACATGCTTTCCGTACTGAGTAATCCTCGTGTTCATCTCACTCCTATCATGGTGGCGGTTCTTAGTGGCGTGTCTTCCATCTGATCGCATGTCTGATACATATTTGTAGTTACGACTTTGGTACTTACCACTCCTAGAAAAGTCATCCTTTGTAGATTCCGCCATTCGGGTAGGGGCAACCTCGGAATGGTTCCCCTTATACTTTTCCGGGAGGGTATAATCGCCGCCATCTTTTCTCTGGCCCGACTGCTTCTTTGCATTATGAAGATGGCTTCCATTATGAGATACTATATATTCCTGCAGGATTAGAAAACTGGAGTATCTACTGCTGTGGTGGTAGCTGCCATCGTTTCCATATCGCCTGATCGAAGAGGGTAACTTAAACTTCTGGCACTTCAAGAAATTTTCTTTTAATCTTTCATTCTTAAAAGCAACGGTAGCTATGTTAGGACAATTCTTTGTTAAAAATATATCTTCAAAAACGGGGAAGTGATTGGTGCCTGAAAATTGGGACTCTATGAACTTCCTCAAATCGTAATCGCTCCATTCGGCTGGCTTGTTTTTAATGACGACGCATAACTTGCTCTTAATTTCTTCTGAGATTTCTTTCCAGCCTAGGTGGCTGGGCCATATGGCCAATCCGCCTCGCTTCGGATCGTAGCCATCTTGGCGCCTTTCTACGCTCCTCCCACTGATGACACTTGCGCGATTTTCGTGGAAGCCATTACGGGAGGTATCCTCACGAATGGATTGCTCCCCTTGGGATGCCTCATCCCTGTTTGGTCCTTTCCCTTGGTTGTAATAACTCTGGTCAAGTGGATCCTTCTCTATTTCTGTCCCTTCCTCTATGTGATCTTTTCCCTCCCCATTTTGGTTGCCTCTTTTCAACTTTATTTTATGAACAGGCTGTTGGAGATCTTCATCCTGATGGTGATCATCCCGGTGATGATCCTTGTGATGATCCTCCATCCTCCAGCCATAGACATTCAGAAGGAATTGCCTTTTCTCCTCCAGTGGGAACTCCACCATCGTTGGTACACTCACCCCTGCGTCCTCCTCCCGTACGTCTCTAACTATTTGGTCTATGCTACCTGGACAAAAGTAAATGTTAATATGGTTCAGACCTCTTCTGTTCATTTTTTTCCTCTTTTTAATTTTTCTTAAAAGCTCCCTCTGTTCATTTATTATGGCCTCGATTGCATCATAGGATGTGTTTTTTTTCCTGCTCCTTTTGGTATGCTCATCCATTTGGTCTGCTAGGAGGCAGTCTTTATTTTCCTGTGTGTCTCTTCCCTTGGGATCTTTCTCCCAATCGAATGACATAATACTGCTGTGCCTTTTACTACAACTTGGAGCGCCGGTGATAATGCCTTCCTCCCCATTGCGCACACTCGTGTCGTCATTTCGATAGAAGCTAACTAAACTCTTCAATTCGCTTCCACTTTTCGTGTCAGATGTGTTGGAATGATTCCTATTTCGGATGAATTTGAAAGAATCCTTCCTTTGGTAATAGTCTTCACACTTGTGTCGCTTTATATTCTTGGAATTACTGCTCCGATAGGACTCTGCGTATTTTTCTCTTTCCTCTTGTGAGTCCTCCTTTGCGCTGTCTTGGCCCTCCCTTGGTTTGTTGTTCATCCTGGTGTGGCTCTTCGTCCACGCGACTTCTTCGTCTCCTTCCCCGTGGTGCTTCTCAGCTCGGCATGGGTTGTCTCTTCTCCTCTTTGGGATTCCTTCTCCATCGGTTGCAAATCTGGACTCGCTGCCAAACCAGTCACTGTCTCCATCATTTGAAAGGTCACCCTCGCTGTCGTCACTACTGTCACCATCGTCGTAACCGTTACCGTCGCCACCACGGGGGTCTTCTCCTCCAGAAAGGGACTCTTCATATAAACAGTACTGCACCCCGTTGCCAATTTGACCGAGGTCTCTTTCAAATTCGGGGCCAAGACTTAAGTATGAGCCATCCCCTCTTGGAGCCCCCTCCCCGATGGTAATCGAGATGGAAGCCGCGTCAATGAGCCCTCTATTCACTTTTTTTACTTCATTTAAGTCATAACTTTGGGACGATGAAACCAGATGGCTGCTATAACAGGAGGGGTCCCCTGTACTGTCGCCTGCATCCCCATCGTCTTTTCGAGGATGGATAAAACGGAAGATAGTTCCTTTTGTCTCTTCCTTTTTTGGAGCTACCCCATCTTCGACTGTGTCGTCTGGTGGGACGTCACCCCCTTTGTCCAGTCCATCTGTACATGCTTCCTCACCGTGTGTCTCCTTCCCGCGGGGTAGTCTCACCAGAACTCTGTTATTCCTCTTCAAATCATCATATATTTGGATCCTCTCCTGCTGTAGAAGGAAGGATGCAAACTTCTCATTGCAGATCACTTTCCATGGATACAGATTCGTTTCTTCCTTCACCGGTCTTAGCACTTTTTTAATTTCAAACCCGGCGTCTTTTTGTACGTCCAGGAGGTAATAAAGGATCCCTTCTCCGCATATATGTTCCGGGAGGTTGTAGCATTTTACGACGTGCCCATCGGGGGGACCTCGATCATATTGCTTCGCCGCAATTGGGGTACCCCGCTCGTGGTTCATGAGTAAATGGGGAAGTGTCATCGTGGCATGGGAAGAACATGAGATGATGAAGATGATGAAAAAGAAAAAAAAGAAAAAAAAAAGGACAACTTAGGAATTTGCCGCAAACGCTTCGAACAGCTACTATGCCATTTCTCCTTTTTTTCTGCTTCGCTTCTGCGCCCTTTAGGGGGGTTTCTCTCCTTTTTGCGAAATATTTTTTTAATTTTCTTTTTTTTTTTTTTTTGGGGGGCGAGCATCATAT